TATAGAAATAAATAGAGTTTTTTTTATTTAAAAATGCGTACGATGCGGATTAATACTCTATAATAAGTATAATTATGAAGCTCTCCCAAGAGAATCTAAATTTTATAGATTTGAATCCAATAAAATCCTATTTAATTATTTTTTTACTAAATATTGAATAATAATTCTTCGAAACTAAAAGTTTTCTGCTTCTGAACTTCAAATACCTAAAAATGGTTGGTTTGATAGTGAAGTTGAATATCTAGTATTTGACGAATTATTTTACAGACACATAAATGGAGGCTCGATTTAAGTCATTACTCTCGTACAATTCTCTCGATTTTGAAGGGAAAAAATACTTGATTGGGAGAGAAAATCACTTATCTTTGGAGATATCAATGCCCATTTAACTCGTTGAGAGTTCTCACAAGCAGCAGAATGTGGTTGAGAAGGACAGAAACAAAGCCCTGAATACTGATCGTAGTAAGGACTGCATAGATTTGCGTAAAGTAACTTGACAAAATTCATAATTGAAGTAAAGCGTCCTTCATATAAATGCCTAAGAAATATTAGACTTTCGAAACAAAAATGTATAAAGGTTCATAAATGTTTTGTCCCGGATGAACACTTCAAATATAAACCTAATATAAAAAAAGATTTAAAGGAATTTACTACCAATAAAGATATTTCAAAAGCTTTTTGCGATCACTAGGTAAAATGAAGCAATTTGAGGTCTGCTATTAATTTTTTATTTTATTTTTAAAACGCTTTAATATCCACTGCAGGGTAACACGTTTTTATTACCTTTTTAATGCTGATTTTTAATGCAAGCAAGAGCAGAGTTACGAATTCAAATTGAAGAATTCCAACTCTGATAAATAGGGGGAAACTTTCGGGAAGCACAAGTTTGTCTTGGTCTCCTCTCCCGAAGAAATTTGTAATAAATTTCGAATTTCAGCAGAAGTTCATTCTTTGAATGAGTTCCTATATTAAAATAGCTGAACAAGATGATAATTTTGACTTTATATATGGCATATAGACAACTATCTCAGTGAGCTGCCAAAAAGAGTGATGCTAAGAAATATATGCTAACATTAAAAAATACAAAAAAAGCATGTCTGTATCTTTGTTAATGTAACGGCCCAGGCGTCCTGGTGATTACCACTCGTTTCTGGGTTGGTCATTACTCTCAAGTTATCAATTGATTGATCCCTCGGCAGCTACCCAAACGGTTGCTCGCATACCGAGGCACCGATAAATTGCAGTGGTGTAAAACTGTGCATGTGAATAAAAGAATTAATTTGAAATTAGTTGAAGTAAATTAAAAAAAACATGAATTAAAACTGTGCCAGAACATTTTAAGGAAGAAAAACAGCTATTGTACTGTAGTTAGTGTTAACGTCGATAAATTCAATATCAAACAGTTGATTTAAGTAGCTGGTATGCTTGGACGTAGATCTTACTAATAAATTTGTTGATAGATATGTCCGCTCTGATGTTGCTGTATAGTGTACATTTGCGTTCATGAATTGTAATTCCTAAGCATCTGATGGTATAAGAGGGCTTGATGCTTTGATTATACAATTTTATATCTGAAATTTTGCATCTTTTCTTTTTACTATTAAAAACATTGATAGAGGATTATTAGGTCGTTAGATTTCAGACCTTCTTTTTCAGGTTGAGGAACAATTATTTTATCAACTTTTCTTTTCACTCATTAGGAAAATATTTATTCATAATGCAAGAGTCTAAGATGTCAGTGAGCGTTATGAAGCATGCTACTAGTCATTAATCATAAAGGCCAGGTGTCTTCCCGTTGATAAGTTTGCAAATGATTAATTTAATTACTTCTTAATCGGTGATGAATCCAATAATATTTGGTGAAAGCGTATTCTTCATCCGTAGACCGGTATTCATTAGGTCACTTCTTCGAGGTTTGAATTCTTTTCCGTTAACACCGGGATGACTACTTCTTCCTCACCACCGTCTTCTGAGTGATCTATTTCTTACTGGGACAAAAAATGTCTGATTGAAAACCTCTTTCGTGTCTTTATGGTGTTCCTCTATAGTAACCATATAGTCATTACATTATAATACAACATTTGATGCATTGTGCCTGAAACATAAAGGAATAAGAATTTTTATTTCTTAAAATGAAAAACTAAAAAAAAGCAACAAAATACTTACATTTTACTTAAACTCTTTCATACATGGTTAACATAATAAATTTAGAAGATTTAACTTATATCAAATCTGCAACCACAAATAAAATATTAATTGCAGCAATAGAAAACCTACCATAAAGTACTAATTTGTCATGTTCATTAAAATCAGTGAGATCTCCATAGATGTTATCTTAACCTGTACTTAGGTATTTTTGAATGCTGATAGAACTTTAAATAATAAAAAAAACAGGAAGGTAAGATAATTGGATGATTTTACGAAATAGTTCATTTTCTATTTCGAAAATTATTCGATATGACTAAGGTTTGAGATGAAACTCTTCGACATAGAAATTCAAATTAACATTAGATGGATACGTAACGCCAAGGGGAATATTATTTTTGACAAAACAAGGTTTTGGGAAATCGAAGTTTGAGTTACTGAACGTATACTGTAATTGCATAATAATCAGGGTTAAAAAGGTTTAGGACAAAATGGATTAATACACGGTTTAAACTGTACTGTCCAAAACCCTTTTACTCAAATTATGTCACAATTTTATCTGAACAATAAACATAGAACTAATAACATATTGATAACTAAATCTACTAGAGAATATTTGTTTTTAATTTGAACGTATAATGTTTTATTAATATTGTTTGACTCTTCGATTTAAACAAAGGAAGATGAATCAAGTTCAATTGGTTCTCTCATTCAATAGTACATAACTGAAGTTGGACCTTTCCATACAGGTTGAGTTATTAGGGACTAAGTGCTTGGTTAGTCATAAACAGGTTTATTTATCTATATAGTACTATTCAAGAATACTGTTATTTCATTCATGTTCAATTCTTTTAGCATAGTGGTGATACATCACTATTGTCAGTAACTGAAACTGATGTTATGCCCTTCAAAACTGTTAATACATTTTTCAGTTATTTTGTATTTTCAATTTAAACTAATATATTTATATTTAAAAACAGTTCTTTTAAAAATTAAAATAAAAGGTCGATTTTTAAACAAATTTAGTATTTTTTTAAAAAAATTATTTTTTTTTTTAATATTGTATTATTATAGTGTCTTTTTAAATTTACCTTTAGGCATCTCTACCAAGTTATTTCCTTCACCTTTCCATGAGTCATTAATTCCTTGCATTACATTTGAATTGTATAAAATACAAGTTTACGATGACGAGTCAAGAATTGTCACGCATTGTGAATGCTGGAGCAAAATTCATGCACACCACCCACTATTAGACAAAATTGAACTATCAAATTGTAATTATGATTGGCTTCTGCAAAAAACGCTTATAAATTGTTCTTTTACATTTATTTGAATGTGATGACTATTTAAGAAAAATATGCTTAATAATGATCAATTAAAAATTTATTGCAAGCTAGGGTTGAAAAAGTATATCCTAAAATAAAATTGATATCAGCAACATAACCGTTGTTCAGAAATCGCTATTTTGAGGTCCCTCGTCATATAAATTCTATGGAAGATTTGTCAGTTCTATGAAGATATGATCTTTCTTTGGGGGTCTCCATTGTTTAGACATGGTCATGGTTAAAATATTTGACTTTAACTGTTTTTTGGGGAAAACATTCAAATTAATAAACTAACTAATTACAAGATGAAGTGAAAGGACTAATTGAAGTAAAATGATTTGTGTAATTAAAGAAGAATTAAAATAAATGTCTATACAAACATAGTAAGTCTACAAGCCTAGTGCAGAATAATTAGAAAATAAATAAAATTTTCTAAGCATTTAAATATGAAAAGACACATTAAAGAGATGAACTACACCACTTGAAAAAAAGGGAGAAGACTGTTTAATAACTTACCATGAAACCAGTCTTTGCATAATTCAGGAGGATTTATTACAAATACAATAACGTGATTCGGGACCGTCTTCTAATATTCTTCGCATGCAACATCAACATTGATTCCTTTCTTTCAGCTTCTTTGAAATTAGCAATAAGGGAGAAGAAACTACTAAATCTAACTTTTCAGTGACATCTAATTTATATTGTCCTAACACTTTGAAATTAGCAATAATTAATTACAAAACTTAATTAAACTGAATTCTATTTAGAAAGCATTGAACAGATGTCAATATTTCAAAATGAAAATTGGGAAGAATTTTTGGTTGATAAATTATGTGACTAAAACGAAGTAGTGAGTGCGAAAAATTCACATAAAATTAAATATATAGAAATATTAATTATAATGTAGGTTGCCCATCTTCATGAGATATATTTCTATAAATTTATTTATTATTTTAAAATTCATATAAAAAATACAAGTAAAAATAATATATATACAAAAGCACATTTGTTTTTTAAATAGTAATAATATCAAAATTATAAATGATTTAAACACATGTAGTGGTATATTCTAATCTACATTTTTCTCTTTGCAATTTTTAAAAAAAATTTCTTTTTTAATTTCATTTTTAAGTTAATTTTTAATATTTTGAAAAACTTATAAGATACTTAAATTTTCAGTGGTTAACAAGATAAAGCAAAAATTAGGAAGTCTGAAAATGAGAATAACACAAAAATGACAACATAGGCAAAGCAAATAAATAAAATAGTAAACATAAACAATTATCTAAATGCTTTTAAAAAAATATTTATTAAACTACTAAAATTTTGAAAGCTATATCTCTTTCATTTGATAAAAAATCGTATCATAAATTTAGATAATAAAGATTAAAATAAAATTTTAAATGAGCAAAATCTATAGCTGTACTTACAAATGCTGATGTCTCTCTGTATTCTTCTAATCTTATATCCAAACTCACAGAATCTTTACATATACTATCTTCATTTTCTATCAGCTCTTTTCTTTTAACGTTTTGATGTGAGAGGGGCACCAATATCTTTTCTTGGAGAAAGCACCTAAAAGTAAATTTATTGAAAAATGTACTATTGTTTAGGGTTGCTTTGAAACCATTTTCTTACTTTAAAGATTTTTTTTGGAAAATTAACTGCAAAAAATTTATTTTTTCTAATATTAGTTGAACTACATGTGTTTTAAAATCAATCATTTTAGTTTTGTTACCATTCATAATAATCATAACAAATGAATGAAATTATTGTAATACATCGATTTAAATGATCCAATCAAAAATTGTTGGACTTTTTTTTTTAAACATTGCTTAGTTTAAAATTAGTTTTGTTCTTTCATAACCATTTAAAATAAACATTTTTACTTTCAGATAAAATTATGAGACGCGCTGCTCAACACTCTCATCCAAAACAGAACTATATAAACAATGTCGGATTTATGATTTGCTTTCTACATTTTTTTAAATAATCAGTTTTCTTTAGTTTACAATAATTAATATTCTTTACTGAAGTATAAAACTTTCTTGTAAAAAATATAAAAGCATTTAATCAGTCTAAAACTACTTCACTTTTGTATGTAAACATCATTTAAGTTTGTAAAATTAATGACGCAAAATTATACTGATGATACTGATTATACTGATTAATGACGTAAAATTAAGTATAAATAAACTGATAAAGGGAATCACTCCAACGTGAATTTTTATTTATTATTTTTTTAAAGTAATAACTTTAAAACTAATTTAAATTACACAAAAAAGAATATTATTTGCATATTTAAATTATTTTTTTAAAAGAAAAAAAATCACAGAAGGATTTGACATGTTTTTCTTAAAAGCATTCCCAGTCTTCCTTTTGCTAAATAACTAAATTTAGTATCAATTTAACTTGGCAGTGTTGTAGAAATTAGAGTGTAATAGAAAATAAATTCAAAGAAGAAAAATTTGATAAAAAAAGTGATTTTTTTTTTAAATTTTTTATAAATGACTTAAGAATTTCATATAGCTATTTTCCAAAATTAGATCCTTTCATTTAAAAGTATTACATTATAACTAATGACAAGTTTCATAAAGCTGGTTAATTTTAGCTACACTAAAGACAAAATGTAAACAATTAAAGTGTAAGATAACAATATTTTGGTGTTGAAATTCACTTAGGATGAATATAACAATATTGTGTCTTATTTACTAAAAAAAAAAATCCTGATTATTAATTTTATAAAATGATTTGAAATAAAATGGGTAAACTACCATCAATAAAAGATATTCATATAATATGCATGTCTGTTTTTGGGTTTCATATTCACTGATATAGGACATTTTAATTTGAATTGCTTATGAAAATATATTTTTTTAGTCCCAGTATAAAAAAAGGAGGTTTAATTTTTCCAAGATTTTACCATGTTAGGCTGAGATAAAGTAACAATGAACTTATCTTAATACTCAAAAAATTAATTTAAAAGATTATTTAATAAACGAAGTTTTTATCATAATGATTAAAAAAGGTAAAAATTTACTAAAAATTACCTCCACGAGAGAATACTGTGAGTTTTTCTTCATGAATGATTTAGCCGTTTCCTCCCTCCATGCTTCAGCAGCTTCCACATGGTTCTCCATTTGATTCAACTGTTCAAGTCTTACTGCCTTTCGAAACTAAATACTCTTCAATATAAGGATAATGCTCTCCACTCTAAAAAAATTATACATTTATTATCATAAATTAAACTAGTAATCTAACTCAAAGTAGTAACAATGAAAAAAAATAAATTCCTAAATTTTTAAGTTTGTAAATTTTCTACTAATAATCTAACTAAAGTAGTAAATGAGTAACATAATTCCCAGTTGCCCTATTCACATTTTTAGGTATTAATATCATTCTCATGAAAAAATTAAAAATTTGTTTCCTCATATATTATTGATTTATTTCATAATGCTTTTCAAACAACAATAAAAATTAACAAAAGGTCATAATTAATTATATAGTCAAATCCAACTAAAGTGAACCTGGTTCATTGTGAACATTTTTAGTGGTCCCGTCTCCCATTAAACTAACCTCCCAAATGCAGAAACAAACCTCTTTATTTTAAGAATCATCTTCTGGCCACCTGTTTCCCTGATTCTTGAAATCCACTTACTCTACAAACCCCTATTCATTACAATCACCTTTTGAAGTTAAAAAAAAAAAAAAAAAGGCAGTCAAATAATTTTATTAGCTTCCCAGTTGTTTTCCTAATGTTCTTTCACAGTTGTTCTGCTTATATCAATAAGAGATAAGCAGGCTTTTTTTATATTCAAAAGCAGTAAAAATTGTGAATTCTGTAGAAAGGGAAGCATTTCCCACTGGGTTAAAATTATCAAAATTATCTCAATAATAATCTTCTTTTGTAACAAAAGTACAATACTGAAGAAAGAAAAATGCTTAAAAAGAAATAAAGAAAATAGTGAAATTTTGCAGGTAAAATCAACAGTAAATATATTAGGGGGTTTTTTTTTCTGCCAGAGAAAATGTAGATAAGAAAATTCTGGATTTATTGATAATTAATGCAGAAATTAATGGACTCAACTTAAAATTAAATTGTATTCAAGTATTCTTTCATAGAGAATTAATGTGAAATCAAAATCAATTCTTAGCTAAGTAAATAATTTTATTTTTTATATAATTAATTTAAAATTTAAAAGCAAATTATGTCATACCACAATCATCATTTCTCACCCTTGCAATCCAGTCCTTTGCTTTTCTGACAGCATCAGCCAATTGCATGACATTAGGAAGATGAATTGATATATATTTCCTGCTTCCTTAACCACTTGTTCCAGAACTTGTAAGGAGTGTTTAGGCCTAAAAGTAATTTAAATAAAATCATCAACAAAATAATTAAGAAAGTCTGCAATTCGAATGAACACAAATAATAAATTTCATAAAGAAATTCTAATATGAAGAGAATAATGTATTAAATAAGACTTCTCATAACAATATTAACAGGCATTTTATACATGGACGTACACAATGTAATCTCGATATTGCAAGGAGGCATTTACTTTATAATGAATAAATGTTCTCAAAATGGCTCATTAATGAGATATCCCATAATGGCTCATTAACGACAGTATGCAGTTACATCACAATTATGTAACTGCATACTGTCAACATATCACAATTATGATATTTTTTTTTATCAATCAAGTTATTTTTCAATAATTTAGGTTAAACTCTTTGGAATTTAACTGCCATATTCATTGCACACTAAAGATTTGTCTGTTTAAGGTTGTTTTTTTTTCTCTCTTAAATTGAATGAATGATAGTGCTAAAAATAAAATTTATTTGAAAACTTTTAACCGAACAACTAATTATTAAATTACACTCTCAAAATTCGAATTGGGCTAGTAAAATTTTTAAAGAAAAAATATTTTTAAGTTTTTCTCTAATATCAAAAATATAGCATGCCTTTCACCTATTCTGATTGGTTGTAAGAATGAATTATATTATTCAAATAATATAGTTAAATGGGGCAAACAATAATCTTTAATTCATTATTATTAAATTAAATCTTTAATTCACAGGGGATCAATTTCATCTTGGGCTGTATTTTATTATTGGCACAGAATTAAGACAACTAATATACTTTAGCATGACCTCACCAAAGTGTTTACTAGAGTAACTAAGAAAGCCTACCAACCAAGGTTAGTCTGATATATTAGGTGCATTGACCCATATTTTAGCAGAAATAATGGAACTTATCAGTGAATAAATCAAAGAAATATGTGATGAAATAAACATGTTTTATAATTATTAATAACTCTAATTACCATATGATGCAACTTGAATGTTTTCAGAATGGGAAAAAAAAATTCATTGCATAATACTATTAAATTAATATTAGACACAAACAATTTTCTAATTGAAAAGCTCAGTGGATGATGCTCTTAAGTGACTGAATTCGGGTAAATAAACTGATGCTTAACAAATATGCTGACAAAAGGATATAAAGATTTTGCATTGCCTTTATTACTTATCTGCAAGCTCTCCACTAGAAAAAAAATCTATAAATCTTTAGCCCTGATTTAAACTGTTTTAATTGTAGCATTCACATTTTCTGGGTCTAAATTTCTGCCAAAATATAGTCTTTCTACAATTGCTTGTTGACTGTTCATTACTAAATGCACTCAGAACTTTTTTCTACTCTGAAAATACTCGGCGAAAATGCCTCAATACTTTTATCCAAGGAGGTCTGCAAAATTTGAAGAATAACAAACGAAAATAATAAACGAATGTTGTAGTTGTGGAATGAGAGGCAAAAAATCTTTCTTTTTTAATAAACATAACATAGAACTTACTTTTCACTAAGCTTAAATTATACAGCCAAATCTTCTAACAAAAAATAAATACCTTTTAAGCACTTAAAAAATATTTTTAAGCACTAAATACATTAACAAAGTGCCAATAATTCTTAAAGAATTTACATGATCATGATAAAACAACTAGTTTCTGACAAAGAATTTTTTTTCTTGATTATATTAGCCACCATAAAAAGATCGAGAGATTTTTCGGTTCGGTTTCAGAGGGTGGAAAATGAAGCCTGAAATTGAGCAGAAAATGCAGTCTGAAAGTGCAGCAGAGTGTCACAGGAGAGTGCTAGAATCTCACTGAACTCAGCTCAGTAGATGTACATGCGGATTCGCAAGCATTTCATCAAACATGTAAAATGATTGGAACATTCATACGCTAGGGACCAACGGTAGGCTGAAATGCATTGTGAAAACGTTGAACAGAACAAAATGAGAGCATGCTTTTGCATAATATGTGGCAAAATTCAACATCGTAAAGAAAAAACACTAATTTTTTCAAAAAAAAAACATTAAGGGCTTTTATAAAATGAAAATAAAAAATAAGCACCTTTTAGCACTTTTTAAAAACGCTCTGCACCATGATCTAGATTATAGGTTCCCAAAGTGGTCCAGGTGGACCCCAGGGGTCCGTAGGAGACCACACGGGGGTCCACGTAGACGTGAAAAGAAAACAGGGGTTCACAAGTTGTAAGTGGGGGTCCACGAAACATTCTCTGGCTTTCTTTATAAAGAACAAAAATTTTGGCTTGGATTTACCTATCTACCTAGGCAGGTAGCATCATTCACTAGGTAGGTACTTAAAAATATTCGAGACTCAGTTCAAACACAGAATTGAATAGAACAATAGATAATAGTACAAGTTTACACCACATGTCGAGACTTGCAAAGTGCCGCCCGTGCGCCCGCTCGCACTTAAATACCCTGCATGATGACTTCAAAAATAGATTTGAACATATTCTGACGATGGAAATACCACCATGGATCATAACCCCATTTGATTAAACGGAAGAGGCGAATGTGGTATTACAAGAGGAGCTACTTGAGCTCAGCACAAACGAGGAACTGAAGACGAAATTTAAAAAAGGCTATCAAACATTTTGACTGCAGGCAGAAATCCCCGAAAAATATCCTGGGCTGTGGGAAATAGCGAGAAAATGTTTGATAGCGTTTCCCTCGTCATATCTTGTCGAAAGAAGTTTTAGTGCCGTTACCAACCTGTTAACAAAAAAAAGGAGCAGATTGAACATCACAGAACGGGGAAATTTGATATTACTTCTTATAAAACTGAAGCCAAATATCGATAATTTGCTGTCAAACCGTCAGTACATCCGTCTCATTAAAAGTATGACTATTTTTTACTGTTGATTCACATTTCAGAGTTCATTGTTGATTTTTTGTCAATTGTTGATTGTTTGTAATAATAAATGTTTATAATTTTGTATAACCATAAGTATTATTTTAATAAATGGGACACAAGAAAATGTACAATTTTTTTTTTCTCCTTTCTAATTTAGGGTGATACTTTTTAGGAGTTTTGGGAATACTATAGAAATGTAGCAGCAGGGGGTTTACCGAAAATAGTAAAACTTTGAAAGTGGTCCACGAGAAAAAAAGTTTGCGAACCTCTGATCTAGATAATATGTAGAAAAAAAAATTAAAAAAATAAAATGTAAGATGCCTACTTAGCTCGCAGGCACATTTTTGCTTTTTCTTCCCACTTTTCTCCAAAAGTCAGGAGTTCTTGGAGTTCAGCCATTACTTTTTCTATGGTATGATCAGGAGGTATGTTGATTCGTTATCAAGGAGTTTGCGTAACATATCTAGCGTAACCATCTCTGGGTGTAACAGGGAACCATTCACTTCTTCTAACCACCTCTTCTGGTAAAGCCTCTGCAAAATCAATCAATCAAATTTCAATCAATCAACCAATCAAATCAAATTTTTAAAAACTCAAAATTTGCAACAAATTTCTACTATTACAAATTTACAAAACATGCAATAAAAGCAGAACTTCATGAAATAAAAAAAAAACTGTACAAACAGTTTACTAAATGTTAAAATTAATAAGGAGCTTGAACGCAGAAAGTTTAAGCTTTAGTGTTTCTTGCATGACAATAAAAATGTGCTAGCTTTCCTAATATAGAATAGAAAACTAGTAGTTTTTCTTGCTTTCAGAATTATGATTAAAAAAAATTTACAACAGTTTTTACAATTTACAATGATTTTTATAATACAAATGGGCACAATAGTTAAAAAGTTTAATTAAGCTCAAAAAGAAAATTTATTCAAAACTATATTCTAAGATATTTTCTCCCTGCTATGGTTTAGCTCAGAAATTAAAATTAATTATATGTTAAGCAGAAATTTCAACTTACAAGAAGAAAAAAAATTTAAAAATAATTATTACAAAATTTTCCATGAAGAAGAAAAACACGGAAAGTCCAGCACCAGCTGTAAATCATTTTATTCTTAAGAAACAAAAATAAAAAAATTAGGAAAGGGAAGGGGACACTTACTTGTTTTAGTTGCAGGATCTCGGGAATATCAATATCCAAATTAAGTCCAGCTTCCAAAAATTTTTCCACTTTTTTAGAATCTGTTTTATCATCATTAAGAATTTCTTTTGCTTCAACTTCAAATGCCACGGCTCTGTCCAGCAGATCCTATTAAAAAATAATAATATAATTGATTAATTTTGTAATATTTCTTGAGTATGAGTAATATTCTTAAATCTTCCAACCTAATTATTTTGATAAACATTTAATATTTTATTAAAACAAACATTTAGTTAAGATAATTTTGCTTGTAAAATATATGGGTCCAGACAGTTAGAACAAAATATTTTGCATCTGGTCGACATATTGTAAAGTTTTCAATTATGTTGCATTTAGCAACCAAAGAAAATGAATAAATCTTGGAAATGTGTATAACAACTTTCTTTGATTGTAAAATATCAAAATTATTTATTTGTAACATTATTCACTTTAGAAAATGTAACTCATGAGCATATGTGCACGTGTGTGTATGTATATATATATATATATATATATACACACAAACATTCAAAGCAGGATTACATTTAGCATTCAAAGCAGGATTACAAAGCAGAAAAACTGTTAACGAATTATTTAAACAACTTAAAATCCCAAATTCTTTTTTCAAACATACTTTTTTAAAATTAATTTAAGGTTACAGAAGAATTATGCAATAAAAATTTCATTTTACAAAATTAAAATTTTTTAAAGTAAAATCATTTTTTTGCTATGTTTTATCCACATGAAGAAAATTATAATGAAATTATATAAGTTTCATATTTAGAATAAGTAAATGGTAATTCATACATACCAATTTTCTTTTCTATATTAGCCTAAGATTCTTCCAAAACATCGATTTCGTACTTGATTTCGTTTCTAGAAGAAGAACTTGAGGCATCTATTAGAAGGTTGAAGCTTTTTAAGTTCATCCTCTAGTTCCTATTTAAATAGAAGGATTATAACACTATATATCTTTAAAAAATGAGCAAATTAAATTTATAAATATAGAAAAGGGAAACAATTCATAGTGACTTTTTTTTAAATTTCTAATGGCAAGGCAAAAATAAAAATAAATGAACAGATGTAAAGATGATATAACTATAAATTGACTGAAGTCATTGCCTCCTAAGTTCTCTGGCCTTCCAATAAAGCCCATTCTCGGAGTCGCCCCTAAGGACTGGTGGAGGTGGTGTCTATTCATAGGGAGTTACAGAGGGGGCAGTAAGGGCTTGAGAGGATCCGAATACGGTGATCTGCAAGACAATCGTGTCTGGTTAGTAGACGGAATTGGGCCACAGCGTGCCAACGTAGACTGCCATGAGCCCTCAAAAGATCTTCAGCTTTCCAGCGCTTAGATTTTACTCTGTCATTTATTTGTTCACTGAATTGCCCTTTTAAAGTTTGCTTTAAATGAAGCTTCACAGAATGAAAAGAAAGTGGAGAGGAACTCGATTGAAGAAACCCTTTTCTGACGCATCTTTTGTATTCTAAATGTTGTAATTAATTAATAAATAGTGCTTGTTAAATATAAGTGTTATTTCCTAAAATCCCACGCTATGAGACAGCACACTGGCGACGTGTTGGTGAATTTTATTTTCCATTAATACAAAATATCATTGCTTGAAAAAGTTTCGTTTCAAAACGAAACTAATTTGGATTAAGGTTTCAAGTTCCTGAGGATAGGTAAAATTTTTTCTCTTGAAGACTGCTCCAAGTAGAAGAATTTATTTCTTTTTCCAAATGGAAGACATCATCTCTCAATTGGTTGAACAAAATAAATTGTTAATGTCAGTGCTACAGCCGAAAGACGAATAACCATGAACCAAAGTAACGTTACTAGTGTGAATTTCGAGAAATTCGATGATTCCCAAGAAACATTTGAATCATTTTGGGGGCGGTTTGAGGCTTGAGGCTTTTTTGGACATGCAAAATGTTCCAAATAAAAAACGAGTTTTTTTTTTTTGGCAGATTATTAAAATTTTACTATTTTTCAATATTTTTAAAGAATAATTCTTAAACACGCAACAAAACTTAAACGGTTCTCAAACAAAACTTACCGCCTGCGACGGCGCTTCCGGACTCTAGGCTCCTCATAGTTGTGGGGGTCAAGATCTCTGAGCCTTTTAGCAACTGGCTTATCATCGTCCTTGCCATCTGTTACTGGAGCAGAGTAACTGAATTTGCTCAGCAATACCAGATTTGTCCTTCTTTCACCTGCAAATTTTTTTGTTAATTTCGTTTTAGAATTTCTAACAAATGTATACAGATAATTTTAATTGTAGAATAAATTAAAAGCCATAATATATTCCCTCTCTCCCTTTTTAATTTGGATTTTTGACTAACAAAATATGGGGGGGGGGGGTGGCCACAATTTGAAAAATATAATCCCGTTAAATTAGTCAGTTCATAAGTTTCGATTGTTAATTTTTATTTTGTAAAAATTTCGTGAATTTTTTACGAATCAAAAACTTTTTAATCACAATTTTAAATTTTTTTTTATAAAAGCAAATATCATGTAGAAAATCATTCTTAAAAGCTTTTTGCTACTTTTTTATTTTATTTGTGTCGAAAAATGTTTTTACTTTTAGGTAAGACAAAATTTACACTATTTTGATTTATTAAATTTTAAATGACCAAATACGGAAATGGAACGACTTTGATCAAATACTTCTTAAATGATAGATTTTTCATAACTCATAACTATTCAACAGATTTGACTCAAATCTTGTTCAGTTTAAATGAATAGTTTAGAAGGTTGTAAGCATTTGTATATCTTACAATTTTGTATTTTTTTTAACATTAAATAAAATGATAAACAATTAGGAGAAATAATATTTTTCCTTAAATTTTACTTAACTTTTACTTCTTAAGGAATTCTGTTATTTTTGTTCTTATTTTGTTGTTCAAAAATTATAAGCCAATAAAAATAAGGTATGCTAATTTAGAGGAAACACTTTAGTATAATAAGTAATCAGTATAATTGTTATTCAGTTATAATTCTAAAATAAGCATTTATACTTAAGTTATAATAGAAACAGGCTCTTCAGACTAGTAACTATGTTTGAATAAGCAAATATCCTTAATTTGGTTGTAATTAATCCAAGTTCCGAAACCAAAACTAAACAAAACCGAAACTCAAGAACTATATAACTGCCCTTAATCTGAATGATCTCTGGTTTAATTTAATGGTTAAAATTTCAATAAATGAACAAATAAATTACAAGCGATATATTGACCTTTTTAAGCAATATGAAAACTAATATACNATTTCGGACGAATAATGGAAGAATCGTCTGCCGAAGACAAAACTTAATTCGTTTACATCCATCTTTCTTGTTTTCTGCCCTGGAAAGGGTTTATTCGATTAACAAAACAATAATGAAGATAAACAAATTTGTGAAGGGTCCGATTAAAAGAAAAATCATTTTGTGAAGGGTCCGTTTTTAAGTTAAATTATTTTGTGAAGGGTCCGTTTTTATGAAAAGATATTTTGTGAAGGGTCCGTTAACGGACCCAAATTTCCTCTAAACATACCCCTGACAGACCTTATGAAATGTTTATTGAAAGTTATTAAGCCTTGTTTAAAATATTCAAAAATTTTGCCCAACATATTAAATGCGACTGAAAACTGATTAATCGATATTGGAAATGTTTATTCCATTTTCAATTGCTTTTTTTTAAAGTAATTTTGTCATTAACGGTAGTCAACCTTTCATTTCGCCGCTATGAGGAATTCTAGGTGCCTTCTCAAAAAGCAGTTTATGACATCGAGGAAATCGATAGAAAAAAAATTATACTTATATAAAGTAGTAACACTCACGTGGTTGGCGAGCTTGTGCAATTCCAGCTTGTGCTACCCCAGCAGCTGCCACTCCAGCTTGTGCTACCCCAGCAGCTGCCACTCCAGCCAAGACACCATCAGAGGAAGCTGCGGAGACAGCAGGAGACCCAACTGCAACTACATCAACTTCATCATCACTTATTAACTGTAAATAAAGAGAGTATTTAGTAAGTTGTTTTCTCCAGAAAAGGTCACAATTACTATTTTCAGTCAAGGTAAACGATGATAAAAGATATTCTTTTCGTTAGTAGAGGGTTGGTATCGATATGTCAGTTCGTAATAACACTGAAATCCATTCGTGTTTAGCATAGTATCAAAGAAATGCTTTCAATACAATAGTTTAAATCCTATTAAATACATTTATAATTTAGAGAATGTGTATAAAGTGACAGTAATACGGCAGTTTAATACAATACAGTAGGTTAAATAAATTCTGATTAATAATAGTTCAAACTCACAAAAATATGTGCAATTAAACAGGAAATAGTTCACTGTGGGTCGCAAAGTAATTTTAATTATTGCAAACGCACTTATTTGAATGACTGGTTTATTGGAACATAAATTATAACTTCGGACAACGAAACATTAAAATATAAACACATACAAACACAACACACACGATATACTACATTTTAAAATCAAAAGCAAATGCGTAAAAACTGTAGAAAACCTGTTAGGTAAAAAAACAATAGTACATGTTTTTAGCATATGGAATAATGCATAAAATAACTATGTTGTTAGAGACTTACATTGATGAGATTTGGTGGGGGATCTTCATTATCATTATCATCATCACCATGATGTACCTGCAGTAAACAATGAGAATATGTAAGACATAACTGCAAAATACAAAAATTTTCCAGAAAAAATAGTCATGAGAGATAAATTTGAGGTACGTATGAGATATATACATAAAACATTTAAAAAAAAATTAAATTACAACGTAGCAGAAGTGGAACTGACGGTAAGATTTCCAAGAAGAAAACAATCACATCGGAAAATTTTATGTATATTATATAATTGTTTTTTTTTTCCAGCTTTGAACAATGTAGATGCTAGTAGTTGATTTCCTGGTAGTACTTCGAGCAGAAGTGCATCATCTCATTTTTTTAATTACATTTGTCATTTGTTCATAATTTTAGAGTGATTATTTGAGTATTGACTAAGGCCAGAAAATAATATTTTTTTTTATCGTTATTGAATATCGTCTTTGTTCTAAATTGAGTCTGGTTAGTTGCACGTTCCTCTGATTATTTTCTGCAAATCAGGTGAGACATTTTATTTTTAAAATGTTTAAAGCAAAATAGGAAGATCTTTCAAAATTTGCTACTGAACTGAATATTCAACATTAAAAAGAATTTTACTCTGATGGAAAGTAAAACTGATAGAAAATTCCGATGCATATAAAAATTATTTAAAATTTGTGCTAGAAATGTTAGAATATATTACTAATGAAAGGAAATTAGCATCGGAGGAATCAAAACAAAAACAACTGGACTTAGAGAAATTAAAAATTACCAGAATTAGAAAAAGAATTGAAACTCAAAATTTAGTGGATCTCAGCTTAGTGGAGGACTACAACCAATCGCGAATCAGGATTCAAAAAGTGTAATACGTAGTGTGAAAACATTGCCATTACCCGTTGTCATAAAAGCTGAAGACAGACAGACAGAGGAATTATGTAATAGACTTATTCCAGATAAGGAGATATAAATGGTGTATGAGGTTGCAACATTTAAAAGAAATTAATTTTCAGTAGGGGATGATGGATGGTAACTCAAAGATGGCACAAACATGCAAGAAAAAGAAACAAATTGAAAATCGAGTAAAAGACGAAATTGCAGCAAAAGTAAAAATCATTAAAGTTGTAAACAAAAAAGTTTTATAATTTGTTGTTGCTACCATTTCAGTTGAAAACTATATTAATATAATATGGTTATCTTAAATATTCATAAAAAACTATTTTGCAAGTTTTTGTTATAGTTAGGGATAAGAGAGGATTTTAACTACTTAAATAATAAAAATATTTTAAATAGAGTTGATTACAAACAATATTACTTTTTCTTCAATCTATGATTAAACCTACAAAAGTTATGCAT